TTAGTTTGTTATGTCTGCTACTGTTATCCAACGTCCTTGTAATTGTCCCACTCCAATTACATTTAAGCACTCTCGCATAGCTCACTAGGCCGTGACTGTGCGGATTTGCCGAAGTGGTAAACTGGTCGACTGCGATGTCCACACAGGCACCAACACCACATGGACAACGTGCAAACAAATATGCGCATATTCATGCTAATAAATGTATTTAGTTCGCCGTTCGCTGTTCGATTTTCGTATGCCTGAGCTACCCCAGAGAATTAATCAACGGGGAGGCCTGTCAGAAGAAATTATGGATAAATCAATTTAATAGACATCGATAAATATGCCAAGAGCAAAACGTTTTATCTAATGGACATTCAACTAACTTAACGCACTATATTATAAGCATATTAAGAATTTAATTATCGTTTCTTTGCTTTTTGCCAAAATATATGTTTTCCTTTCTGAAAATTTACATAACTATTTTTAATTCAGCTTATCTCTGTGCTACGAAGAACAAAGCTGCCTTCATGGACTCTTAAAGATCCTGTTCCTCTGTATATTGAACATATTTTGCAGTTTACACAAATTTGATGAACGTTTCTATAGAATCAGGGCCAGTCTTCGCAGTTAGGCAAGTTAAACAACTTAGTTTACAAGGAACAATTTAAGTTGTGAAACGAAACAGAAAAGGCTAATAGCAATTGTGATACCCTCTATTGGCTTGGTCAATGAACCAGGTGGAAGGCTCGTGCAATTCTGGCAATTGAAGAAGATGAAGAGGCATTTGAGATTGCCTTAGCTGAACTCATCGCGTTCTGTGGCCGACTAAAAGCCAACTCGTATTTGGCAATTGGTTGACGGTTATTCGCTGAGGCGATGCTCATCGCGTTTTTGGTTTGGGTTATGGTTATGTCAATCATTATGTTGATGGTAACGGTTATGAGGCACTCGATTACCGCCAGGATGAGTTGCCATATTATGCCCATTTGAAGTAATGGAAATTCAAACGGCTTGCGGCCACGCCAACTATTGGTAGTCCTTAACCTCAGAAGACCGAACACATGCATTGATGTAAATGCGACTCATGGATTATTTTGTTTTTTTTTTCTTTGGTGGTCACACGGCTACCTAATGGGTTTTATACGTGATAAAATCTTTCACACATTGCTAGGCGGCTGTGAGACAGCTTGTGACAGTGGCCCCGCCACCCCTTTTTTTGGCCACAAGACGTGAGATGGCAGTGTGACAGTTGTGCAACATGGGATAAGGCATATAGGATATGGGAATTGCGAGAAATTGGCAGGTTTTAAATTAATAGCACCCTTCAACTTGTCGAAGGGCTCACGATTAAATAGACGAGACGAAATGTCGGCAGCACAGCCAAATAAATACCTGTCTCTCTGCCCGTCCGGACGTCTGTCCGCTCGTCTGTCTGTCTGTCCAGTTGACACTGACGCTGACTCGTTGACTGACAGAAAACGCAAGCAACTGTCAGAGTTTGCAAATTCATTCCAGATGTAAACATTCCCATAGGAAGCCATTTCACACAAGTTCCATGTCTGTTTGTTCAAAATTGCAGCAACTGGTACTGACGTCTACATGCTGGCGTAACCGTGGGTGGTGGTGATGTGAGTGTGTGTGTGTGTGCCAAGGTGTGTAAGTGGGGCTTGATGTTCGCGTGCTATAGTTGCCCCCTACAGCCGTCAATAGCAGCAGCACCAGCAGCAGCAGGAGCAGCAGCAGGAACAAGAGCAGCCCAACTTTTGACTTTCTTGTTCGAATAACCAAATATGCAAAATCACTTGAGGAGCAGGTGGGGCACTTTGGCCAATAGCAGCACCGAGAAGTGGATACCTTTTCAGACAGTGAAGATGTAATTTTCGGAAACTTCAAAGCCAATCTACGGTTTATTTCCAATATCTGCATAGCCGCATTGTTGACCAAGGCTCTATGCATTGCTCAAATACTGAAAAGTATGCGAATAACAACTACTCAATACTGCACGTGTAGGACGCACTTATGCAGAAAACAGACACAATTCTGATCACACTAATTGCATTTTTTTGTTGCTGCTCAAACGAAAATTGTATGTCAAATTTCGCAGTTACGACCAAATGGCTGGAGGTAAAAAAAGAAACGAGTTGAGAACTAAAACTGAATTCTTGGTGTGCACCCTATAGCCGAACGAACTTTAACAGTTCCCTCTGCTGATGGCCGTTCACGTTATTTTCATTGATTATGTCAGGAAAATAAGTTTACTTTGGAGCATTATTGGTCCCATTCACAGCAACAAAAAGTCAACTTGTCAAAATGTTCGAAAGCACTTAAAACTTTTACGCACTTTGTTGCTGTTGCTATTGTTGTTGCTGTTGTTGTTGTTGTTGCTGTTTTCTTGTTTGTAGTTGTTACATTATGGCATTTTTCCACTAAATCTACATTCACACCGACAACGGCGCAGACGGCAGTAGTCTATCTGCCAGCAAAGGGCAACAATACCCAGCCTCGCGTCGAGATCTGTGTTTGTGCCACTTGGTGTGCCAATTTCGCACTTTCCTTTTTGCAGCAACAAAAAAGAAAAAGAGAAAGAAAACAGAAAATAGAAAAAAGAAAAAAGAAGCAGCGGACTATTTTTTTAAAGCGCTTCTCTCATTCTGGCAAATGGGGGGCAGTTAGAGCCTGAAGCACTTGTGCCGCAGCCAACTCTACTGGCAGCTGGCCATGTCTATGGCCTGGCCCGGACTAGAGCTTCAACAAGGCAATTGAATAGCACTTTCCAATAAGTACGCAGCCACAGACCAGAGAAGCAGCACAACCAAAGTTGCCTGGCCAGCTGGTCTGTTCCTGTTCTTACATTACGATATTGGCTAAATTGTCACAACATTTGATTTTCGGTCTGTCAACTTTGTACAAAGCGCCCGAAAGTTGTGCACTGATAATCTTTGTTTACCATTCGACTGAAATGTGGTTAGGACCTGGACCTTAGTCACTGTCAATTAGTCAGATATGCAAATTGTAGTGGCATTGATTGGAATTTAGCTGAGAGCAAAACTTTTCGCATTGCACAGCTTATCAATCCACACAGCACAGCATGTTAGATATGCTGGAAAATTTAGTTTGGGCCAACAGGAAGTTGTTTACAACAGTTTTCAAGACTGTATGTTAATGACTGTTGGAATCTTAAGGTAATCATAGATCTATAATTATTTCAAAACTGGCTTGAGTATGTTTAATAATTTAAGAACTTGAACCAAACCTGTATTTGGCTCAGCGTTGATTAATTATTAATGATAAACTGAACTCTGCGCGTTGCCTTTGTAGAGAACCTCTGACCGAGATTTGGTTTCAAATTGAACGAAATCAAAGTCGAGCGGCTGCAAATGATGTGAGCATAAAAAAAAGCTTTACATACTCGTGTTTTGCAATGAGTTTAACGAATAGATCCTGTATGCCTAATGCTCCTCCAACATCCTGACCCAGTTCATGGCCTGAAAGTCCGATAATTTATGCCAAACATTTTTTGATGCCGCGTCGCTTAGACGAGCGTAACCCTTGTTTGAGGTTGAGTAATAAAATGAAATATTTATGGGTTAACATTAAGGGATTTGGTTTTTGCTTCAGCACAAATGCCTATGCTCATGCATACTACATTTAAATATATATATACAATGTATATGTGTATATAAGGATACAGGGATATATCATGCAGCACGTAACACTTTGACCTGGCTCGATCCCGGCCTTGTTGCGGCCGAATTGCGGTTAACATTGACCACACGGGCTTATTTATTGCATTCGAGGCGTTAACACGAAAGCATTTTGCGGAAATGGAAACTAAATAGTCGTGGTTAAATTATTAAATGCCCCATCGCACCGCCTCAGCGTCAAAGGCGGCTGCCATCGTTTTTCTTTACGATGCAAAGTGTTTGTTGCCTATAAAAATTTACTGCCTGCCACACACTCTCTGTGTATTCATGTTTGTTTGCACAAATGAAAGCAAACATATAATTCCCGTATATTCCAGCCCGAGCTGGCCAATGGATGTGTATGCATAGTACTCGTGGTACATATGGATCCATATAGTCAGAGCCCCAACACGTTCTCGAATTGTAGTTGGTAAAATTGTTTGGCGATACTTTAAATATTTTATGAGTTTTACCACAGCTAAATTGAAGGCGGGGGCGGGGGTGGGGGCGTGGCAATGTTGGGGAGCGTTGCCGAGATTATGATGTAACGATTTATGGCTAGATCATTCGGATGAGCGCAAATACAAACATTCGGCGACTGTCCTAAAGTTGAAATCTAAAATTTATGTATCTATATATTCGCAGCTTCAGTATCCACAGCTAAGTTTAAGAACTGACTCACAGCTAAATTCTGAAATACTGACTGGGAACTCGACAAATGTGTCTTGAATATGCTCTCAATTTGTATCTTAAAACTTTTCTTTAAGTTTTTTTTTAATTTCATTAGAACTCAATTTAATGATAGATTGCTTACGATAAATTGACTTCATACATTATATATATATATATATGAATTTGTATTGCCTTTGCAAAACTGAAACTTTATTTTGTGCTTAGTCAGCACAACTAACCCAATTATAAGAACATTTGCTTGTCGCCAGTCGATGCAAACAGGAAGGCCAAATGTGATACAAAAAGCACGAAATCGAATTTTGCACAGACTCGATTTAGCGACATTTGCATGCTCTAAGTTATAGTTATTATATTTTATATATGGATATAAAAATCGTTTAAGTTTGTTCGATAGAGATGACCGCGCGATGCTAGCCCGTGAACAGAGGCGTCATTGATGGCCAGATCAGAATTCACATTATATTTGCCAGCCACTTGAGCGCCAGACACAAAATGTCTAACGCAAATCACACATTGATCAAAAGCTAACAAAAAACTAAACAAAAAACGAAAAAAAATGAAAAACAGTTCGACTGCCTCTGGGTATAAAAGTGATCGGCTACACGCGGCGGCCGGTTAGTTATAGAGTGGACGCTGTCATCATCAATATGCCGAGAACAATTCCGATTTGGGTACTGCTCATGTGTAGTGTGGTGATCGTGGCGGAGGCGAAGCCGATCTTCGTAAAGATTTTTGCTCCAATTGGCGGTAAATTTGTGTGAAGGAATACGATGCGGGAGAGTGGAGAAAGGGCTAATGTAATATTCCCTGTAGGTTATTCCAGTGGCACGGTCCGATCGACGGCAACGGTGGCGCCCGTCAACAATCAGTTGATCTCCAATTTGATTTCGCAGAAGATCCAATTGCTGAATAGTTTTCTGCAGGCGAAGTCGTCCTTTGGTAGCTTTGGCATCCGAAAGGACATCACATTTACATCGGGCTCCACGACGACCACGGAGCGACCAGTGACCCTGCTCACAACAGAGGTAAACACAGATTTTTTACCGGACGTTAGTTCCAGCACTCAATCTGTGTACACAACAACCACAGAGGGCGAAATTGCGACTCCGAAGCCTACAGTACATCCCGTCAAGCCAATAACATCGTCAACGCCAGTGATACCCACGAAGAGCACCACCGAGTACATCGTGGAGTCTTCGTCGGGATCTATCGATGACTACACATCTCAGACAACCCCACGCACACCAGCACCCACGCCCACTAGCAATGGCTACTCCTATCAGACCCCCACGTCCAGCTCCATCTCCACCACTGCTAACGCCTACTACTTGCCCGCCTTACAATAGTAAACGATATCTACTCGAATGTACATATGCAATTCTGTAGGTATATAAGGTATATAAGTTAAGCACGTCTATCAAATGTTTATCTATTAATTGATAATCAATCCTAATCGTTTTATTAGAATACATTTTGAAATCTTTGAGAGCAGTATAATTTGTTGCTTAGTGCGGAAGTGATCGGACTTCACAGACCTCACACTGCAACTATTGACAATGGGTGGTTCTGTGTCTCGATCAATTAGCATAAAAACCAGTTTTACTGAGAAGACGACAGACTCACCAGAAGTAAAAAAATATATATATAAAACAAACAAACAAATTGAATCTTTGCTTTCAGACTTGTTGATCGATTCTTTTGTCGAAATATATATTGAAGAACGAGTCAGCTTGAACGAAGTTTGATATTTGGTATTTAACTGAATAGAGTGTCACGAAACAACTATTATAAAATATATTTCAATGCAAGAGAATCTGTTCTAGAGCATCCACGTGTTTGGGTACTAAATTTGAGACGTTTCAAGGTTGTGAACCGGCTGAGCCACTCTAATTTAGACACACAAGCATTAAGCATATTTTTATCTGAGAGGTTTCTTCTTATTCGTGGTAATTTAATGCTGAGCGTGGAAATGTTTTTGTTTTTTTCTTGTTTAAGATGTTACTTAAATCATTATTAGCAGCGACTTTAAAACCTCTTCCCTGTTTCCAAGCTACCACGAAACAAAAACAAAACTTGTTTTACGTTTGTTTTTTGTCTTTTCTGTTGCCGACTTGCAGACAGCAAATTAATAGAAACCTTACAAGGAGCATTAAAATAGATTAGGTTACTGACTTCTTTGCTCAGCAGACGCATCTATATATTAATATATATTTATGTAACTCTGAAGTGTGACCCGAACAAATTTTGTTGCTTTTTGGATTCCTCTTCAAATCAAATTTAATTGATCATCGTTACTGCCCCAAGCACATAAAAATTAATATGTTATTAGTTTCTCGAGCAGCTGGCATTTAGTTTGTGATATCTCTGCTCGGACACCTCGGGCTAGCGGCTCCATAAATTTTTATAGCAGTACAATCAACTTAACAGAAATATGAAAGCCATTAGATGAGACACAATGTTGTCTAAGGTTGTTTGTCTGACAGGACACGTGCCGAGTAATTGAGATGGCATTCAAGTTCATCGCCATACAAGTCCACACATGTCCTTGAAAGTGGTGTGTCCTTGAAAGGAATCAGGCAGCCCGGTTGCAGAGAATGGGGTCGAACTCAACAGCCGCTGCTGCCGCCTGTCCATTAGGGCTGCTGTTGAGATTTCGATTAAATGTGTTTCGGTGTAAGTATTTTATGCCCACTCAATTTATGGGGGCTCGTAAACTAAGTAGAATTACAGACACGCCCGGAGGGGAGCATAAATATTTTATGATTTAAAACTGGCCCATCTTGCCCAATGGCAAACCAACTATTGAGAGTAACTACCCGCTCCACAAAGGCAAGTGTTGCAGCTCTGTTGCGACGTGTGTTGAGATCATCTATTTCACTTTCGAGAAGGTGGAAGGTAAGCGTATTTCGTGTTCCTTAAGAGCTATCTGATTTATGTTAAAATCCACTTTGAGCTAATAAATCTTTTTAATGTTACACAGCTTTCAAAGATTCCCGGAACTAAGGCATATTGTACGGAGCATATTTAGCATATATAGCATATAGACTACATTATATATATATAAATTGTTTTTTTAAAGGTATTGTTTCGTAGGGCGTCCGTAAATATAATCTAGCCAACGCATTGTCAAAAAATTAGATTGTTTTTAAAGACATGACTTGATAGCTCACAATATTCCTTGTCGAATATTTCTCAATTTTGGTCCATATTCCATTTCATTGTATTATGCAATGAAATTCATGGTGGGTTTTGTGGTAGCATGTGTCAAAAGTTATTTGTCATACAAGCACCCAGCATTCCCGGTGGCCACTCCTACCCTGCATGTTGTTGTTGTGGGCGCTGTAGGTGCCGGGCGTATGCAGATGAGTCTGAAACCTGAAACCCGAACCTGAAATAGCGGGCGAGTTGGAGAGAGCTTGCAAATAAAGCAAGGGAAATATTTTCACTGGCTGCCTGTCGTCCCCGTGAAATGTAAAATTTTGAAAAGATATGCAGCGGCACGTACCCACATAAATATGTTTGCATACGAAGCTGTTGTGGGATACTGCTCGTGCACTTACCGATGCGATACACATACAGACACATACGCAAATACACGCTAACAAACGTACACAAGATTGTATGTGCGCTTGCAAAAACAAAGCCAAAGGCAAACGTAAACGTAGATGTACGCAAGAGCAGCTACAAGAGAGCAACAAGAGGCACCACAGTAAGCATCCAAATCTCACCGCAAATGAAAGTGGCAACGCACATGGCGCTGCGTGGTTCATTAGTTCCACGAAATATTATAGCCAACATGGCGTATGAGCGACGTTATTCTTTTATGCAAAATGGCATCAAGTTCGGAAACGATGCCATGCCATTCGGTACAGTGGCTTCCCTATCAACTATTGGCACAAGCATACCAAGAAGGAACGCAACCAGTGGAAGAAGACATCAGACGCGGTCGCAGCTGCCTCTTGGGGCGTAAATTTGCACGGGGACTCGAATTCGAATTGTCGAACGGAGCTTCTTGTGCCTTTGCCACAACGCCAGCAGCAGCGCCTCAGAATTCAGCTTGCAGTTGCGATTGCTCGACTACAACATATGCTCGTATCCAGATCCTTATCACATATAATTAAGTTTTTTTCTCATTTCTTTTCTAGCTTAGATAGCTTTATAATAGAGAGGACGTAAGCGACGCAGCTTAGACGTCTATGTGTGATAAAAGTTTTTGCTAGAATTTTTTCAGTGGTATTTTCTTTGTTTTCTCTGGTTTTGCTGTGCTTGTTTATATGGCACGCATCTTCTTCATTCTTAGTCCGCTGTGATTCGAAAATGTGCCTTGGAATAGCAAATAAACTGAATGTGTGTAGGGGGTACTGAAGGTGGCTGCGGCGCCAACCCAGCAGCCTGCCATTGTGTATTGAATCGTAGAGCATGCTTCTAGTACTAAATATTTTTATATTGCACAATACGCATTTGGTCTGTTATTGGCTGGAAGAGCCAAGCGATGTGATGGCTCAGAACAGGCATGTGGAGTGTTTTCTATATAGTTGGGTTCATTATTTGAAGGAAAAGGAATATGAAGTTGGTCTATTTAAATATGGGATGGATACTTTGCTCAATCTGGCCACCTGCGTGCTCTGTACCTGTTTGTATCTCGTTGCGTTGAGCGTTAGAGTTTGTTTGTTTCGAATGTTTTGTTTCCATTTCACAAAAGACACAACAATTATCATTTGAATTATATTGGATTGTCTTTGTTGCGAAAGTTTTCGACTCACTGATACACTTGCGTTTGGTAACCCCAAACCAGCTTTTTATTTAGTTAAACAATAACGAGAACGTCTGCAGAGGCCCCCGTGGACAGCAAGGACAGCAAGCCATGCCCCCTGAGCAGCTATCAACAAAGTCCGCACGCGGCATTTCAAAAGTTATTTTCTAAACTAACTTTGCAACTTTTTGTTGCATATTTAAAACGGGTTTACGCGCAGCTCTTAGAACTGTGGCGAATGAAATGAGATAACTTTGCAAAAATGTATATTCAATTACCTAGTCCCGCCTTCTCGTCCTTCCACTCCCTAAGGATATTCACAGAAGTTGAAGCTCGGCTCCGTTGTGAGTCACAGAAAAGCATTTATCATCCCGCAGGAAAATTCACCTGTTAAACATAGATACCCGAAACCCGTTGAAAGTTGAACAGCCCGAATAGCAGCAGAAGGAAAAAAGAGGACTCCATTCTTATTGGCAGACATGTGGGATTTCTCGGCGCCCTGTCCTGCGCCTGACAATTACAATTTGCACAAATGGAATCTCAGCTGTCGTCTTCATTGTCGAATGGCCTAAATGGAAGCTTAGGACGATGCTTGACGTTGAAAAATAAATTGACACCGCAACGTCTGGTGCTAACGTGGCGCAAAACACACTTCCACAAATCCCTAAGCGTCCAAGTTGCCCAGGGCCTGCACGATTTGATATCAATCAATAGCGTCAATCCACATAACTCCTTACTATACCCCATTAAACGTCCGCAAGTGCCCATCCAATTGCCTCAATCAATTGAGTGGCGAAGCAGAAAGTCAACCAGCGTCAGTTGACTTGTGGCTTACAGTGGTCGAGATGAGATCTGAGTTATAACTGAAATCCAAACTGCTATCTAGCTAATGACAACAGCCCGGCCACACAAAACAGAATACTTGACAATTTACACAATCATCTTAAGTATCTTGCCTGGGCCCCAGTAACATAGATGTTTTATGTATGTGTACAGCGAACCCTAATGCTAAGTTTCTCATTAATTGCCACAATACAAGGCTCCAGTTGAAGTGGATTTAACTTGCGAAACAAAACTCACAGTTTGTGCAATTGAATTGGGGAAGTGTGTGAGGGGCCCAGGCCAGCTCCCAGGGAACGGAAACACTGTTAAAAATGAACGGCTATGTGGCAATTGGCCATAAGCCGGATATGCATTACAGTTTCTAATGAGGCAATTGTAGAAATAAGCTGAACGTGCCGCCAACGAGGTCGTCAAGCACTTTTCTCGTGGCAAGAACGGAAACGGAACGGTTCGGCTCGGCTATAGCTAAAAAGCAAATGCAAAAAGTAGGGGCAACTGCTCACGACTGTGGTAAGATAAAAGTTTCTTATGGAATTACCTGAACGTGTTTGTTTAACAGTTTCACAAGTTTTTACCTCGTCGGATAAATGCATAAACATGCTTTTATTTCGTTTCATTTTTGGAGCGCAGAGCACATTAAGGGTTCAGGAATCGAGACTATTTGCCATCAGCCGCAAATGAATTTATTTCGGATAGTGTTTGCGGCTTTAGAACTTTGACTGCTCTGACACTTTATAAAACCCGCTAAACTTAATGCCCTCGAAAACTCAATTGGCAGTTGGTTTTCGAGTCGAACTGCCTCTTGGCAGGCAAGCGCAATAAATATGTATATAAGCGAAGCAATTCAATTTCCCCAGCACATACACCACATAATCCCTGACAGCTTAACGCTGCTTTACTAGGTCGCACACATGAACGGATAGTTAATTAACCATCAAGCACAATGGTCAAAAACAGGAGAGTACTTACATATATGCAGAAGATAGTGCATATAAGCTTGTTCAAAATGGAGAGCTCTTCTATCAAAGCCGCTCTTCGCTGGAACTCGTTGTGAAGA